TATATAATTCTCACTCAAAGTAGTCCAGCCAGTCCCGTTAACGGCAATATGCTTGTTGTTATTGCTTTTAGTCCCACTAAAAAGACGATTATATTTTCTGTAAACTAAATTTGGATTTGTCACTAATCTGCAATACCCTTTTTATAATATCTGTACCTACCTATGAACCATCATCATTAACAGTCCACAGATCTATGGGTAGACTGCCATTTAAATAATCATTAACATTATAATAACATTTTTCTTCTTAAAATCTTTTATATTTAATTCTCTAGAGATGGAAGGAAGATATTGAAGAGATTGAAGATGGACAAATGCGTTAATTGCGAATAAATATAATTGATTAAATGATTGATAATATGCCTCCGCTCACCTCAGTGTACGACGATGATGGTTAAAAAGATATAAGTTAGAGTAAACAATAACGTATCGTATTGAAATATCTTTAGCCAATCTTGTTATTGTTAAGTATAAATGGCATACATTTATACTTAACAATAACAAGATTGGCTCATTTTCAAGATCAGATTTTTTTTATAGATTATGAAAACATCACAATATTTCCGAATTTCAGAGGTCAGACTTGTTGTTATCGCTTTTATAACCTAAATCCACTGAATACTTCCTTATTATGAAAACTTGTATAAAGCAAATTCAAATGTAAGTTTTTAATTAGTGGGAACGTGAAAAACGACCGTGAGATAGTATAAACGCTAAGTCAATAGAGCCCTGGTAATCATCATCATCATCAACAGCCTTTAACAGTCCACTGCTGGACATAGGCCTCTCCTTAGAAAGGAGGTTTTGGCCTACTATACCACGCTGGCCAGACGGGTTGGTATAGGGTTTGTGTCAAGTTTTCCTTCTCTCTGCAGTGCTGGTGTCCTGTGTTTGCTCCCTTAGTCGCCTCTTACGACACCCACGGGATGAATAGGGATGGTGACACTCTGTATTCTTAATCCGTCACCAAACCAAACCAAACGGAAAAAAACAGGAAATTCATGAATCAGAGATTATGTACACAATCGGACGGCTCCAATTCGAACAGATATCTGTTGTAGCACTTTAAATTCTACTCTTATAAGGTATCACTTACGAGTACTATGAATTGACTCATTAACATCAAAACATTAATTCAAAGTTTGATCTAGAACATTGCTGATTGTCATCAGAAATGATGCGTGTTTTTGTTTTCTACATGACGAATGAGTTGTGTTAAACCTCGTAATTCCTGTCCGAATAAGTAGACAGGCCACTCGATGTTCAGTGAATACCGCTGCCCTACAACTGTATGCAAAGGACACAAGTGGATTATCACTCTTGCTGCCATCCTCCCAGATTTTGGAAGGGGGTACCACTCATCAACAGCAATTACTGGTCCACTGCTGGGTGTAGGCCTCTCCTTAGAAAGAAGGTTTTTGTCTACTGAACCAAGCTGACCAGACGGATTGGTATAGGGTTTGTTTCAAGTTTTCCTTCTCTTTGCAGTGCTGTTGCCCTGCGTAGTTTGCTCCCGTAGTCGGCTCTTCAGACACCCATGGGATGAATAAAGGTAGTGATACTCCGTGTTCTTAATCTGTGTTCTTAACACGGATGGGTACCACTCAGTTAAAAACACCTAAAATATTATCTATTGGTTCTATGTGGGGCCGTGGCCGTGGTGGTTGGGCCAACCTATAAATGCGAAACATGGCTCTCCCACGGTTTTTGTTAAGGTTAAGGAATTACTAGCAACAAATTGTAGATACAGTTTATTATATCTATTTTTAGATCACTATTAAAAAAACTATCGCTACTAAAAATAATCAGTAGGTTTATAGAGCTAGGCAGGTTAATAAAATAATAAGATATGTAGCAGGTCGTTCTACGATAACAACCATTACAATTATGCAAAGATAAGCTCGAGAGGACATTGTCGTTATTTGGAAAAAAAATACACGTTTTAACATTTCGTATTTTCTTCAAAGCAATTCGTGTCAAAGTATCCTTATATCTAATTATGATATCTCACTGGTATAATAGACTCTAAGTTGGGAAATTTAGTCATAGTTATTAAAAAAATGGTTTGTACTGATAGTGCAATAACCCACTGGTGATTGTACTTAACAACTACCGGTTGAAAGAAGAATTATGACTTGCATTCATATCCTACGAAGACTCCTGAGCGATTAAAAAAAAGATAATATTATAAAACGTGTACAAAATAATGCGTATTTTAAATAATGTAAACTAGTTATTGGAATAAACAAAAACTCACCTTGCATACTTAAAACTAATACCACAAATATAACAATTAAACTTAAATAGTTAAATTTCATTTTGCGTCAATAACTTTTTGTTCACCTATCGTAGCTGAGTTGTTTCACTAAACATGTGATGCACATAATGCAAGAAAAACTGTGTTTATCAATACTTTATGTGATATAGCTTCATTCCGATAATGAGACGAATAACCTCTGTACCGCACAATGCCAACTTCACATTAGTAACACTGCCATCTATGAATCAATATAGGAACTACGAAGTGTAACGTTGTACCTAGAGAACAACTTGTTTTCGTTTTATGTGACGTCGAAGTTATGAACATCTTTACACAGATTTCCTATTTTGGGCACAAATATTCTTTCTCAAAAATACTTAAAACCATTATCTAAAGTCATATAAAGTATCTAATAAGAACAAGGTTTGCAAAGGTGACAAAAAATCAGTCGTAAATTTGACAAATTAACTATTATTAAGAAAAAATCTAGACTATGTGTAGCTGTACCAATTTCATCAAAGTAAATCTGGTGTTAGTCCTACATACCTGCATTTTTAAGGTGAAATAATTTATATCTATTGATAACCATGTTTTTTTTTGACAAATATCATTAGATATAGAATCTCGTCGCAGTCACAAGTATGATATGAATTACTTTTTGTTTGTCAACTGAATTTAAAAAATAATTAATGAATAGATCGTACAAGGGTTAGTCTTATTATAGTAAGAAGATAATATTCCAGCTCTGAGAGTTGTAAACTAAGGGATAAAGAATACAGCTTATCACAATTTGTAATGATTAAGGCGCATCGAAGTCGGTGATATCTATTTTTAAAGTTCATTATAATTCTATTAAATTAATAACTCAAAAGTCTAGTCAATCTTGCCGTAATCAAGTACTAGCTGGACTAACGGACACTGATTGATTACAATATGTTATACATATATAGATAAGGTTAATTGAAGTTCGGTAAGTAAAACTATGAGACAGTCAGTGTTAATTATGACATTTTATTTCCAAAAAGTAAAACGATGAAAAATTTTACTCATCAATCATCATCAACAGCCTCTAATAGTCCACTACTGGACATAGGTCTCTCCTTAGAAAGGAGGTTTTGGCCTACTATACCACGCTAGCCAGACCGGTTGGTATACCAACCGGTCTGGCCAACCAAGGAAAACTATAGGGTTTGTGTCAAGTTTTCCTTCTCTTTGCAGTAATGTTGTCCTGCATAGTTTGCTCCCTTAGTCGGCTCTTATGACACCGACGGGATGAATAGGGGTGGTGACAATCCGAATTTTTAATTTGTCATTTACGGACGATAATTACTAATTTTACTAATTAATCTATTCTTAGGTAAGAGAATATACATATGTAGGTATAAATAATCAAGTATAATTGTTCCAAGAGCTCAGGTACAACAATAAAAAGAACCACTGAACAAGACCACAGTGGAGCACTTTTTGTAACGATAACCAACTTTAGGTGACTGGGCCGTTGGATCACTGAAGATCTAAAACTTAGTCTTTAGAAATAGTTTTTTGTATCGTTGAAAGCAAAATAATGTTTGTATAGATGTAAAATAATATAATTTCCTCAATAATGTTTGTTTTTTTTTATAGAGTTGACTTCAAGTGAATTTGTCACGGTTCATAATGTCACAGCAAATATTTTAAGCGGTTAATCTTCACGAACTAAGTATTAGAAGATCGGGTATTCTTACAAAAGCCAAGATAAATTTAACCAGTAATAAGTAGCTTCTTATCCCACTTTACCACTCCTATTCATTAAGTGGGTGTCGCAAGAGCCGACTAAAGGTCATGGCTGATTTGACCCACCCGACACCCGATCAGCACCACCTCGTCGCTCGGTGTCCAATCGTTGTCGACGGATGGTCCACGGGTGGATGACGCGTCGTCAACCAGTGATCGTCAGGTTGTGAACGGGTGGACGCTGCGTTGTTAACCAGTAAACGTTTCGTGGTCAACCAGTGGACATAGCGTTGTCCGCGAATATATAAGTAGTTTGTCAGGGATCGTCACTCAGTGATGTATCGTCCTCACTCGTAAACCACTCGCGAACAGCACGCGATCTGTTCGGGAGCTACTCGTAGGCAACGCAAAGCAAACGTACGAGTATCGGGAGGTCACCGAGTGCTCATCTCCTTGCAAAGAATACGAACTGCTCGGGTGCTGGTCGGGTGTCGGGTGGTTCTAATGAGCTATGACCTTAAGAGACCAACTATGCAGGACAACAGCTCTGCAAAGAGAAGGAAAACTTGAAACAAACGATATACCAACTTGTCTGGCCTGGCTTTCATAGTAAGCCAAAACCTGTTTTCTACGGAGAGGCCTATGTCCAGTGGTGGACTACTAAAGGATGTTGATGATAGTTTTATTTAGGTGTGGCATGAAGGAAGAGACTCTCTAATAACGGCTTTTATTACTGTTATGCTTATGCAACTATTCATATCAGTCTTATAAAAACAATAATAAGCTAGCTTTCTTCATGACCCTGATTTTTTTTTGTTGTGTTTAGTTAAATCGTTATCTTCTATGAACAATTGCAGCCAAGTCAATAATATTTTTTTAATCAATAAGATAGCTGTTAGCTTTAATTTGATAATGATTAGTGAATCACAGTAAAGTCCCACTTTTATTTATGTATAAAAAGGTTGAACTTGCGCTTCAATATATGCATTTCAATTACTGCAAAGCAATTAGCAGGTTCGAAGCAAAGATGTGTACAAAAATTATATTCTTTATTGCAACTCTATATGTTGTCAAGGCATCGGTGATATCACTCAATGCTTATGATGGTAAGTATTTTTTTATTTAATAACACAAATTGCTATTTTATGAATATTCCTAAGCAGAATCCTAACAGTTTTTGAAGATTATATTTTAAATCCTCCACGTCTACTCTTGACTAGTATGGAGGGACAGGCTTTGAAAACTCGAGCTTTTGTTCTTCACCCTTTAAGTGACAAATGCTAACACTTAAAATCTTATACAAGCATTTTAATTATATTTTTCTAAAACCTAAATCCAAAAAACAAAATGATGTAAAATATTTTTTCGTATTTTAGTTTATAGTATTTTCGAATAAATTGAATTTTAAAAATAAAATTTATATAAGGAATTATAAAGGAACAAGGCAGCTGCCATAAACCTATGTAAGATCTTGTTAATTTTAGTTATATATATCGCAAGAATGCAGTTGTGATTCAATAAGTTTATTTCATGAATATTGACTGTAAGCTATACTTAATAAGACCGATTTTTTTTTATCTAAATGCCTTGTTTTTTAAAGAAAAAAGCTCCTTTATATAAATCAGTTGCACCTTTAGAGGTTTAGAAACTTCCTTCGATTTTTTATAGAAATTTTATAGGTACATACTCGTATTGTAAATAGTTCGAGCGAGCCTTTCCCGAAATTCCAGTTCTTTAATTGTTTCCCAGTCTTTTCAGTAAAGTATCGTTATTATTTTGTAATTTCCATTATAATTCATCATATTTTTAGGTGACGGATCATTAGCTGATGGGATAGTGGATAACGAAGTAGAAGAATATGATACGAGCTTAAACAAAGCACTTGTTGAAGGTGATTATTTCTTACCTTCTCAGCGTACTTCTACCACATAGATTGGTAAATCACCTAATACGTTTAAATCTATAATTTGAGTGGTCTATGATGATTTTATTTTACAGACCCTGAGGCAGAGATCGCTGAGGTTTCTTCGGATCCTAAAGATTTATCTGAAAAACGAAGATGCTCCCCTCGTCGTTGTAACCGTGTATGTCGCTTAAGGCGATATAATAATGGTACCTGTGTCGATGGCCGATGCAGATGCTCTAATACGTCAGAGTCAGGTCAGTTATGCTCTAGTAAAGCTATTTAAATTGTGAAATTCGGTTAAACACAATAAATAATATAAGTTCCCAAAACATGACATGACAGACTCGATAATTTGGTTGAAGAATCTGACCTGAATGTGAATGAAGTTGAAGGCTTCGCATTCAAATTTGAAATATCGAAACTAAATTTAGATGAAAAAGTTGAAGGTGGTTATTTTCATAACATTTGATGAAATAATTTCATAAACTTAAACCCATCCTTCGAATAATATTCATTACACTATATATTGTGTTGCAGACACTAAGGCTGAAATCGCTGAGCTTTTTTTGGATCCTACATATGTATCTCAGATAAGAACATGCCTTCCCCGTCTTTGCAACATTGTCTGTCAATTACAGCGCCTTGGCAATGGCACCTGTGTCGATGGCCAATGCAAGTGCTCTGGAAGAGGTGATATACTTTTTGTATTATTTAGCTAAACATGACATGACATAATAGCAAAACATGACATGACATAATAGCAAAACATGACATGACATATTCGATAATTTGGTTGAAGAATCTGATGTGAATGTGAATGAAGTTGAAGGCTTCGCATTCAAATTTGAAAAATCGAAACTAAATTTAGATGAAAAAGTTGAAGGTGGTTGTTTTCATAACATTTGATGAAATAATTTCATAAATTTAAACCCATCATTCGAATAATATTCATGACACTATATATTGTGTTGCAGACACTGAGGCTGAAATCGCTGAGCTTTTTTTGGATCCTACATATGTATCTCAGATAAGAACATGCCTTCCCCGTCTTTGCAACATTGTCTGTCAATTACAGCGCCTTGGCAATGGCACCTGTGTCAATGGCCAATGCAAGTGCTCTGGAAGAGGTGATATACTTTTTGTATTATTTAGCTATCTAAAATGTAAAATTCGATTAAACTTTACAGGAAATTAACAGTGTTTCTTAAAGCTCTAGTAGTGACTTTCAGTTTGCGTATAACGACTACTTAACATGTCTGGATATTAAAGTATCATCAAAATAAGTAATAAGACAAAATAAGTTTTTATAATTGCTATGGAACTCCTTCATATATTATGTACAAGAGTTACGTTTATGGGTGAAAATCAGACAATGATAAATACGTAACATGGGTACACAAGATTATTGCAGGTGTCCAAGGGCGACAGTAGTCACTTAACATCAGGTGACCCGCCTGCTCGTTTGGTTCCCTATACCTTCAAATGAAACTACGTACATATTTTTTTTAAATCACAAATATATTGTCATTTATCCACACGTGACGCACTTCCAACAAAGAGCATTTCATTTTAACTGATATAAATTATTTATTTCAGGTAACGAATTATCTACTGCTGATGAAATACTTGATGATCTATTTGAAAAATCTGACTTGAATGTGGATGAAGTTGAAGGAGTTTCATCTAATAACGAATCTGAACTAAAATTGGACGAAGAAATTGAAGGTGATTTTCATAGCTTTAAAAGGAAAAATTGCCCAAAAAGTTAACTCATCATTCTAACGATTCTCACTACACTATATATTGTGTTGCAGACACTGAGGCTGAAATCGCTGAGCTTTTTTTGGATCCTACATATGTATCTCAGATAAGAACATGCCTTCCCCGTCTTTGCAACTTTGTCTGTCAATTACAGCGCCTTGGCAATGGTACCTGTGTCGATGGCCAATGCAAGTGCTCTGGAAGAGGTGATTTACTTTTTGTATTATTTAGCTATCTGAAATGTAAAATTCGATTAAACTTTACAGGAAATTAACAGTGTTTCTTAAAGCTCTAGTAGTGACTTTACGTTTTGCATCGTTATATATAACGACTACTTAACATGTCTGGATATTAAAGTATCATCAAAATAAGTTTTTATAATTGCTATGAAACTCCTACATATATTATGTAAAAGAGATACGTTTATGGATGAAAATCAGACAATGATAAATACGTAACATGGGTACACAAGATTATTGCAGGTGTCCAAGGGCGGCAGGAGTCACTTAACATCAGGTGACCCGCCTGCTCGTTTGCCTCTCTATACCATCAAATGAACTTACGTACATCTTTTTTTTTTTAAATCACAAATATATTGTCATTTATCCACACGTGACGCACTTCCAACAAAGAGCATTTCATTTTAACTGATATAAATTATTTATTTCATGTAACGAATTATCTACTGCTGATGAAATACTTTATGATCTATTTGAAAATCTGACTTGAATGTGGATGAAGTTGAAGGAGTTTCATCTAATAACGAATCTGAACTAAAATTGGACGAAGAAATTGAAGGTGATTTTCATAGCTTTAAAAGGAAAAATTGCCCAAAAAGTTAACTCATCGTTCTAACGATTCTCATTACACTATATATTGTGTTGCAGACACTGAGGCTGAAATCGCTGAGCTATTTTTGGATCCTACATATGTATCTCAGATAAGAACATGCCTTCCCCGTCTTTGCAACTTTGTCTGTCAATTACAGCGCCTTGGCAATGGTACCTGTGTCGATGGCCAATGCAAGTGCTCTGGAAGAGGTGATATACTTTTTGTATTATTTAACTATCTAAAATGTAAAATTCGATTAAACTTTACAGGAAATCCACAGTGTTTCTTAAAGCTCTAGTAGTGACTTTCAGTTTGCGTATAACGACTACTTAACATGTCTGGATATTAAAGTATCATCAAAATAATTTTCGAGCATTAGCTATAAGTTTGTTTAATTGCTCTGGAACTCCTTCATATATTATGTACAAGAGATAAGTTTATTGATGAAAATCAGAAAATGATAAATACGTAACATGAGTACACAAGATTATTGCTCCAAGGGCGGCAGTAGTCACTTTCCATCAATTGACCCGCCTACTTGTTTGTCCCCCCTTCTTCCCCTCACCCTATTTCATAAAAAGAAATTACTCTCATCATTTTTAGAAATACATAAATAGATTTTATGTCTGTAACACTTTTTACGAATGTTCAAAAACAATAACTTATTCATTTTATTGTAGCTGAAAAATCATTTGCTGATGACATATCTGACATTTTGGTTGAAGAATCTAATCTAAATACGGACAAAGTTGAAGATGTGGCATTCAGTAACGAAGCTAAAGAATCTGAGCTAAACTTGGATGAAGAAGTTGAAGGTTGTTATTTAATGACCCAAAAGAAATAATTTCGAAAATTTGAACCCCAAATTCGCATGTTTTTTTTATTAACATATATATTGTTTTATAGACACCGAGGCAATGATCGCTGCTTTTTTCTCGGATCCTAGAGATCTATTTGAAATACGAAGATGCTTCCCCCGTCTTTGTAACCGCTTGTGTCGCCTAAAGCGCTTTGATAACGGTATCTGTGTCCAAGGTCGATGCAAATGCGAAAATATAGGTACTAAATTTGTTTGACTATCTAATCCTTTAGTTAAGCTTTTATTTTGTAGCTTATTTATTAATATATAAAGAATTGAATTATCTATATATTAATTATCTATATAAGAATTGGATTTCACTATTAATTTTACTACTTATTTTAGTTCAAGAATACACCACAACAGATGCTACTACTGAATAAACACAAGAATAAATAAAAAGGTAACTGTTTTTCCCTTCATGTCATCATCACATCACATAAACAGCCTATTATACCACGCTGGCCTACTATACCACGCTGGCCAGACGGGTTGGTATAGGGTTTGTGTCAAGTTTTCCTTCTCTCTACAGTGCTGTTGTTCTGCATAGTTTACTCCCTTAGTCGGCTCTTGCGACACCCACGAATGAATAGGGGTGGTTACACTCTGTATTCTTAATCCGTCACCACACGGACCTTTCATGTGAGAACATAGAATACATTAAAGTCAAATCCACCATCACTACTTTAGATGCGACGGCGAAGGACAAGGCAGTGTCGCCGATACCTTTTCCAGGTATCGGCGGCACTGCCTTGCCCTTATGCCGAGGTCTGAAGGTTCAATTTCTTTGAATTCTCAATCAATCAATCACTGTACAAAAATATTTATGTCATTGACATCTACAGAGTGATAGTCATTACACGCTTTATTTTCTTCCAAATAATCATTCATTAAAAGCTGTAACTTAACATTGTAATATAAACAATATTCAACTAGTTTATATTATAATACTGATTTGCTTTTTTTTTATTACAGAATATAAACTATACAACCCGCTTATGAACCTACGACAAGTACTGCAATTTAAAAGTGTACGCCTGTTAACTGGACAAAAATCAAGAAATAATATAATGATGGAAATCAGTAATACGAGAATTTTAATGTTTTAAAATATTAAACACGGCTATTAATTTAAGTAGTAATTACTGACATTATTTAATAAATTTTGTATACCTAAAAATAAACTGTCTTTTAATTTCTCACATTTGAAGTTGTGAAGGTTTGTCCTTGAAGAATGGTATATGAGACATATAATTTGCGAAAATATGCATGAAAACTCTTACACTCGCTGGTACCAAAAATAAAAATGTTGTGTACATCAAACAAAGACCTCCTCCTGTGAAAGAGGCGTCAGGAGCCCTACTTCGTCAATTAAACCATCATAGCTTTATTATTATTTTTTCACGTTTTTTATGACAACATGATTCTTTTTGAACTTATAGAAAATTATGTCTTACTTTTTAGTTCAGCTAGCTACAAAAGCGTGTTTTCTTAGGATTTAACTATATATATATATATGTAAATTACACCTAGACACAGAGCTCGTACTCACTTTACTCTATGCCTTCTAGGAGGATCGCTTAGTGCAAGAGAGCGTAGAATTTGCTTCATTAAATTTAATTAGTGATAAGGATGCTTACCAGATATTTAAGTGCAGTTGATACATTCTTATAGTAGTTGCTACATTCTTACCTTGCTTATTTATATTACGTCATATATTTGGTTTCAAAGCCAAAACTTGTATTGCATGATATTGTTAAACCTATAAAATTATTAGACCAATAATTATTTTTCTTTTTATTGAAAATTCCTAGACTGATAGAAACAGGTACTGCATTTTAGAGACGTATTATTCTACTGTAAAAGATTTTAGAAAACTTTGGTTGGAGTCGGCTTTTAAATATGCTACAATACGGCTGAATTTCTATTTTAACGCAAAGCGACTGCCAACAGATCTCCACAATCTAAGTAGACGATATCGAAATTCTGTCGAAAAATTGTTTACGGACATTTTAAGGCTCCAACTACTCGTAACGATGTCTACAGATGTTCATATGGCAACCATGATCGACAGCTTAATGTGATCTCCGAGGCGATGCTGAACATGTAGAAATTTAAAGTTTTCAAACTAGCTTAACCAATTTCATCGTACCTAATAGGAATTTTCTAGTTTAAGGTGAACACATACTAATAGATTAGTTCTTTAATATTGTTTCCACGAAATTCTTTTTACACACATCAGACATGTTAAACATTTAGTCATGTCATATCAAACATTTTAACGCTGCGTCTATAGATTGTACTATAGTAACTATATAACTATTGTACTATGGTACCAACCCGTCTGGCCAGCGTGGTATAGTAGGCCAAAACCTCCTTCTTAAGGAGAGGCCTATGTCCAGCAGTGGACTAGTAAAGGCTGTTGATGATGAGTATAGGTACTATAAGAGAATATTTTGAATCCGAAATCATGTTTACATGCAGTTAAATATTCAATACTATTGCAGGACTCTTTTTTGTGCACTTTAGTGATATCGTTATAGCATACTAGACAAGAGAAGTTTCCTTGGTAAAATAATCTGTATCCATACTACCTCCTTTTATTAATGTTTTTGAGAATAACTAATTGCAGAAGTATTCTTATTTCACTCACAGTCAGTGCATTATTGATGCTCTTGTAAAACTGTTAGGCTGTATTTACGATGCCTGGAATGAGTCACTTGACGCCTATGCTATTTTCTGTGACCTTTTATAAGCTTCTGATTGAATCCAGAAACTAATCAGAAAACTACTGCAATATAAGATGTGTGGTGTAGCGTTAGAATTTATCACTTCTTACTTGAGTGATAGGATCCAAAGCGTGATAATCAATGACTAGCAGTCACCCGGAAAACGTCAGTACCACAAGGTTCAATAGGAAATCATTTGTGTTTCTAGTATATATCAATTATCTCGCTTACCTTATAAAGAACAATGATAAGATGACACATCTTTAATATTTAAGGTTAAACATGGACAAGTAAGCTTCACCATATAAACAGCGTAATTTCCAAGATTGTCCATTGATTGAATGCTAACAATCCATAATTGACTGATAATAAAATTAAATGTTTTGTATTTATCTCACCTTATGTAATATTAGAATTGAACTTTTCATAATTTGTGGTCATAATTTTAGGCGCTAACAGAAATCACCATGTAATTTTTCAATCACCAATGTAAAAAAACTCGGGCGGACGCCGTCCTGCAACTGATGGAGTAAAAAATCTATTCACAGACATTAAAACAGCCCGCCAAGTTTACTCTAATTGCATGACGTATGGCATACTGCTGTGGAGTAATAGTAGGAGAGCTACTGAACAGTTCAACCAACCCGTCTTCCAGTTTTTTTTTAAATGATGTTTTATTATGTCAATGGCGAAAGAACCGTTCTGGCAGCGATCTTGCGAAAGAAAATTGTTTTTAACCTAGTGCCACGAGGCTGAAATTTTAATATGTTGTAATTTACAAATGTTCAAGTATTAAAAAAAATTACAATCTACTGACATTGAGAGAGGTGAATAATTCTGTGTTTGTACGTAAAAGAATTTACCTTCCTTCATTTCATGTTAATAATAAAAAAAAATATTTATTTTATAGCCAACAAGGATGAAAAATAAACAATTATTATTTCAATTCAGGAGAAAAAGATTAATATTTATACTATAATAATAAAGTACTACTATAATACTATAATAATAATAATAAAGTAATACGTTTCAACAATAAATATTTGTTAAAATAAATAAAAATTAATAATAATATTCTACCATCTACTTTTACTATTTTTACTTTAGCCCTATAAATAATTAGATTTATTACCAAATAGGCTAATCGTTCTTTAAAAGTAGGTGATGCATTTCAACCCTCAGTTTCATACCATAGGTAAATATAAAAACAAAATTATAGTGCGCAAACATCAATTATAGCATTTTTTAATCATATTTTAATTAGATGGATAATATCTATTGGTGAAATACTTGGAGTTGTGTAAAGCGATCTTGTGTGTAAAGTTTTACAATTATAAAATGCATAGTCAAAGTTACGCAGCAAATACTTGTTACTATTTTCCAAACTAGTATTACAATTAAGACATTCTAAATAAATAATTTAAATAATTTGTAAAAAGACAACTCCCGCACTAAGAATATATCCTCCATCTTATGTGCGACAGACACAAAGAACACCCAGACTCAGAACGACAATTTGTGGATCACACAAAGTGTCGTCCCATGTGGGCATCGAACCCACAACACTCGGCGTAGTGTGAAGCGGCGTGGCGACCGCTTAAACCACTACGCCATCCGCGCAGTCGCTTCTTTCTCAACCTTATTGATATTCTATGTAACGACAACGACAAAGGACAAATGAGCAGACGGGTCACATGAGGGAAAGTAGAAGAAGGAGTACGCTCTTTTCTTGAATGTTTGAAGGTCAAATCGGTCCGCAAATACCGCAGCCGATAACTTGTTCCACAGATTGGTAGTGTTTCCCAAAAAGTGTCTCGAAAAGCGCACAGTGGTGGAGCGCCAATTATCCAAGTGGTGGGGATGAAAATTTTTCCGTATGGAACGATGGCGGAAGGTTGCGGCCGGTATTAGTCTGAACAATTCCTCGGAGCACTCTCCATGATATATACGATAGAGAATGCAGAGCGAAGATACAGCTCTATCGCAAATCTTTTGGTTATCGACGATTCGAGTCGCTCTTCTTTGGATACTGTTCAGAGGGAGAAGCTGGTACTGTAGTGCCCCTGCATAAAAATGAGAACAGTATTCCATATGCGGCCGGACTTGCGCCTTACAGAGTTGGAGGCAATGGGCTGGAGTTGAATACTCTCTCGATCTGTTCAACACACCGAGCTTCTTCGAGGCCAATTTGACCTTACCCTCTAAATGACCGCTCTATATCTCGAGTCCTAGGAGGTACTCTCAAACCGAGGCGATAGGAAACGGTATCTGTTTTGCGGTGAACGCTCTAACCTGTGTCTTTTTTGGGTTAACCCCAAGCTGAAGCTCCGCTAGGGAAGTTTTAACTTCAACTTTAATATCGTGTGTGTGTGTATAGAGTTTATTAACATTTCATTTTCATTCTCATTACCTGGATAGTTAGCGTTTCGCCCCGCACAACCAATCTGTGGAACGGGTTATCGTCTGCGGAATTTCAGGACCGATACGACCTTAAAACCTTCAAAAAAAGAGCGCCCTCCTTCCTAAAAGGCCGGCAAAGCGTTTGTGACCCCTGAGTTGCAGACGTTCCTGGGCGGCGATAGTCACTTTCCATCAGGTGACCCGTCTGCTCGTCTGCCCCCTCTAACATAAAAGAAAAAATCGGACAATTATTA